AATTGTGGAACAATGCTAATATAAAATGTGTAATTTGCTTTTGGTTTCAAAGAGAATGGTTTGCAAAGCTACTTTTGAGGGTTACAAGTGTAAATGATTTCCTTTTCTTAAAATATGGAACAATGCCAATATCATTTATATAAGATTTTTTACTGTCTATGTTGTTTATATTGACTATGTTTTGTATGATGACTGAATAAAATTACTACTACAGCACCCAAGTGGAGGGCTATATTTATTTATATTGCTTTAATGTAATACATCCTGGAGTTTTGGTTGAATCAGACTGGGAAGGTAACGAGGTACCAAATACAGAGAAATGTTTGTACAAATAGGTCTCCACTTCGTTTGTTCTAATGCACATGTATAATGATTCGCATAATGATTCACATACACATTCCTGCCAGCTGTCAAAGGACACAGTATTGCACCAGTAAAGGCAGAGAATAAGAAGACTGCCAGAAAGTAAACAACATTAGAGCTGGAACAAAAACACAAGTTTTCGATTTTTCCTAAAATTGGCTTTGCAAATGTTTTGCGATGAAAGGAATTCATATCGTGTTTTTCTAGGCTTCAGTAAAACATTCAATGCATTTTGAGGAGGTAAAGTTAATGTAAACAGAAACACAACGGGGCACCTTTAATGACTCACGCTCCTGTCTTTCCAGTGACTCCTAGTGACGAGTAAAAGGTCTTAAATGATATTTGAGAAGTGTTAATTGTTTGTTTCTTCATGGAGCCTTGTGCTCCAAATGTCGACTTCTAGCTTTCCAACATCAGTATCTGATGACAAATACTTGCCAAGAAATGTAAAGAACTTTAAAGTTGACATTTAGCTTAATGGCTTTTTAATTGGTTATAAAATGGCTGTAGCAATGCAACACCACTTTGTTCTCAGAGCCTCTCTTCTGATTGGCTGATTCTGAACGGATTGGAAATATCACAAGTACTCTGTAAACTCTGTACGCAGACTATACAAATAAAGTATTACCACATATAGTGAATTTAAATTCCAACACGCTCCAAGTGGTTTCCCACAGACATCCCCTCATTTGATGGTGAGATCAGACCGTTATCTTCTCAGTGTTAGAGAATCTACCATGTCAGTGTCTTTTAAGCTCTATTGTCCCCCATTAATCACAGAATGAGTCATTATAAAAATCCTTCAGACAGGGGTCTTATTGTATGTAACCTTTCACATATGTCACTTTTCTCATTTCTCTCCTCAAGGAGAATTTCATTAGCGGATGAAAAGAAAAGATGATTAATCACATGGAACCTATGGCAGGTTTGTGATGAGTGTGAGTAATTGTACCTACCTTTAAAAGTCAATTTAATTAAAAAAAAATAGGGAACATAAATCTATTAATCTTTTATGTTGCCAACATTTGTGTGTGTCTAACATTCTGTTTTTGTTTTTTTTTCTTAAGCCTTTCATATGTCTTCTTTTAACCCTGCAAACTCTGAGTTGTGCATAAATTATGGTTTGGATTGGATGGCTTTTATGGCTATTTCTGGATTTCTGTATGTCTTCAGGCATTGGCATTAGATTCACTTTACATTCACATAATGCCATAACGTCTCTCCCTCTTTCCACTCCCTCTCTGTTTTCCTCTTTGTCCCTCACTCACCCAGCTATGTGGCATTTGAGTTGAAAGCGGGTCATAGCCGGCTGGTTGTTTGATCTGTCTGAGCATGATAAGCTTTCTAAAACATGTCAATAGTGCTACTGGCAGGGGACAGCTGCAGGGGCCACAAACTGGCCTCTAGTTGACTGGACTCAGCTCCAAGTCCAGCTGAAGTCAGTGGCAGTGATTCATATACTGTACTACCATTCCAGAAAAAACTCAACAAACCCAGACGGACTTTCTACTGACAGGCTGGTGTTATAATTACACAAGTATTTGTTTATAGGCAGAGCTGTTGCCAATGGCTGAGCTAAACCTCCATGAGTAATGCCAAAAATGGTTGTGAGTACAAATTAGCAAATTAGAAATTGGATAGTAAGTAGTGTTGTGAAAATATGAATAGAATATAAACTGCAAATGATAAGGTCCAATGGTATAATATTTTTTTGTCATGCTAGTGGTTCAGCTTTAAGGCTGGCAATGTCAGACAGTCCACCACTTTAGTCCAAAATGAAATCTCCACAACCGCTGGATGGGTTGCCATGACGTTTTCTATGCATATTTATAGTCACCAGTCTGACTCTGGTGATCCCGACTTTTCCTCTGGTGTCACCAGCAGGTCAAGTTTTCACTTCTAGTTTGAAATATCTGAAAATGAACTGGCTCAAAATTATGTAGCCTACCATTCCTGGTCCCCAGATGATGTACCCTAATGACTTTGGTGATCCCTTGAGTTTTCCTCTAGTACCACCAGCAGATAAGTTTTCACTTCTTATTTGAGATGTGTCAACATCTACAAAACGAATTGGCTCAAAATGATCTACAAATACTGGTCCCCAAATCATGTACCCTAATGACTTTGGTAATCCCTTGGGTTTTCCTTGAGGTTGACATTTGTGGTTTTGAGTAAGATGTCTCAATGACTTTTGCATGGGTTAATACACTGAGTCATTTTTCCTCCAGAGGAAGAATTGTAGTTAAGTTAAGTAGTAAGTTAAGATGGTGAACATGGTAAACATTATGCTGCTTAACATTAGCATCTTGATCATTGCGAGCATGTTAGCATGCTGTTTTTAGCATTTAGCTAAAAGCATTGCTGTGCCAAAGCACAGCTTCCAAAAGAGAGCTAGCATGTCTGTAGACTCCTACGGCATTTTCAGACAGTGAGCGGCTGCCATTGTGGCATCTGCCTGGTAACATCAGTGTTGTCTATTTTGAATCAGTGGCAGCAGGGTGAAATGCCGCTGTGACAGAACCCTGCTACCTCCGATCCTTCGAGCCCCTACATTACAGGCTGCTGCATAATTAGACTTTGAAGCTGATGTTGCACGCAGCACCTTTCAAATCAGCTCCTGTATCGTTTCCCTCTCTGTAGTTTCCGTGCCATGGCCACAAAGTGAGCTGCAGCGGCAAGTTGAAAAAGCTTAACCACCATGAACTCTAATGGCAAGAGTACAGAGCCGCTTCCTGCCTTTTCCCTGTTGCTGCTGCTGTTGCTGCCACCGAGGTCGGCAGCAGATGTTTCAGCGTACATTGAAAACAGTGGAAGAGACGGCGGCAGCAAATGCTCACTGTCTAAAGCCACCTTTACACTTGTTTAATGATTTATTTTGATTCAGTTGTAACTGTGACATTCAAGATTCAAGCTTTTCCTCAGGTATGAAGTTGTGCTGCTAATGCTAACATGCAAATATAATTAACTTTTATTAGTTTGAAGAGAGTAGAGCTGAAACTGTAATTTAATCAGTTGGACGAATTTTCCCAAAACATTATTGTGATAATTGATTTATCACTTTGAGTAACTTTACAGGCAGGGATGCCAAACATTTGCTCGCACCAGTTGCCACAATGTGTGCACTTTCTGCTTGTTTCTGTTTTATATCATTACAAACTGAATGCTTTTGGGTTTTGGACTGTTGGTTCAAAAATAAAAAACATTTGAGGACCTCACTTTGGATTCTGGGAAAATGATGAACATTTTCTGACATTTAAAGATAAAGAAATCAAGAAAATAACTTCTAAATTAATGAATATGACAGTAACCATTAGATGCAGTCCTTGAAGTGAGCATAAATCCCAACTCACATGTGGGAAAGGCCTGCCTCGAATACTGTGTGAGCAAAAGTATTTCTAGCTCAGACTAGCCTCGTTGTTTGGTTACAGATTCAGCTTTAGCTCTTTTCACAAGTGTCAAAGTGGTTCTGACCACCTGACGCCGCACATTTCACCACCACCTGCGACACTTCAGAGGGGCACAGAGCCGCAGCTGAAACTGTCAAGACAAACAGACAAGTAGCCCACTCCAGCCTGTCAGTGAGAAACAGCTCGAAAACAAAGCGTCACAAACTTTCCCTCCTCATGCCCCCTTGCTCTCTCTTGCATTGCGCTTTGTCTCTATTAATAGAATTTCAAAACCAATATTAGATGGTCATGGGACATCAGTACATTATTGTTGTAATTTCTCTTCAAAAACAATTTTTGATGAAGTTCTTCCTTCCAAAAATAAGGGATCACATTTCATTTGCTACACTAATGGAGGTACAAACTAATCAGAAAAAGCGTTTTTTTCCCCATGTTGGTAAAAGTGCTGCTCTGCTCCAGTTACACTTGTTCAGCTGATACTATACAGCTCCTGATTCAGATGCTGTTCCACAATGAGTGCTACTGTGATCACTTGAGAAGTGAAGAATTGTCTCCCGGCCCCCTGCATGATGAGCTCCACAGTGTAAAGGCAGACTTCGCCATATCTTGTCTTTGCAATAAAATGAGTTCAAATCTGTCTCGTGACCTCTCTGACTTCACATCTTTCTCTGTCTCCCAGCATTCCTTTCACTCCTTTAAGTGCAGCGTGTTATCTAATGCTGTAGAAATGCAATAAAAATAGGGGGTTTGAATGTATCCTATTTTCCAAAGCATCAATTTCCACTATTTTCATATAACAAAATAGAAAATATGAGCAGATTTTATATCTATCTGTCACTAAGCAAAGTTGCTCACAACAAAATGCTGGCGCAGGCTTCAGTCCTTTTTGTCTAGCATAATAAAAACTCAATACTACTTTAGCAACAAGAGCTCAGTATGCAGTGATCTGGCCTCTCACACTCTGATCAAACAACATAATAGATGAGTCTATTTAAACCGGGTGAGTCTATAACTCCGCATTAGTGAGATGGCTCATATAGTGTTGTTTCTCACACCAGCCGTCAATAAATATAGAACAGGAGACGGAGGAAGACTCATTTCATTTTGCCCAACTGCAGAAATTATTTATGGGAATATTTCCTATTACGAATGTGATTCAAAACCTGAACAATGCAGTCATTTCTCACTGATATAACAGAACAGGATTCTAGGATGCTGGCGGGGACTTACGAGAGGGTCTTCTCCAGCCTTCCTCCCGTGGAGCCGATGATTTCTCCAAGGGTACAGAAGGTCTGGCCCAGAAAGTCCTTAGGGGGACATAGGATCGAAAAGAGAGAATTAACTGCACGACAGGGCCAAGAGCAAGTCCTGGATTCAAATCAGGTTCTAACAAACAGAGAAGAACCATAAATACAACCTGCATATTCAATAATAATGCCCCGCTTAATGCAAGCGTGGTGCCATTCTAAATTTTTCACATCTCCAAGACGCCATGGTGTGCTCAGCGCTGACAGAGACCCATTTATTTGAGGGTTAGCTCTTAAACTTTTTCCACAACAGATCATAAGTTAGCACAGGGGAAGCAGCCCATTAAAATATATGAGCACTAAACTAATGACTTTAAACATTTCTGGACCTTCTGTGCTTTAATAAACAGGATTAACACTTGAGCTCAATAGCATCTTACAAAGACTATAAAATCAAAAGGGATAGTAATAGAGATATTAAAGTTATTAAAGTTCCATTAAAGTTTACCTCACATTATTGAAGTGTCATTTTAAATTAAATAGTAAATTTAGGATTTAATTTCACCTTTTATGTATATGCATTAGCCCAACTAGGTCAAGCCCAGGAAGTCCTAGTGGGCCACATTACTCAGATACTTGTTGGCCGATTGATTATTCTTAAAAGGGCCACTCTGTGCATGAAGCACATGTCCTCCCTCATAGTAGAAAAGAAAGTGTTTTTTTTTTCCTGCACTCAGCTTTTCATTGAACAACAGACTTTGGACTTTACAACCAACCCACACATCACAGAGAAAAACATATGGTAACATAAAAAAGCAGAGAGATGACACGATACAATAAAACTCCTGCACAGCAACGAGGGCAGAGCACTACCTGCTAATGCTTGTTTTTTGTGTGTGTGTGTGTGGGCGCGAGCAGGTGTAGGTGTGAGTCCCGCACACACAGTATGTGTGTTGTAGCTCCTGTGAATGTCCTGACATGCACAATCTGCTGTGGTGTACTGTCTCAAACAACAACAGCTGCTTTTGCTTTGAAGTCGAGTTCTGAAAGTTGGTTTACCTGAGCGAACGATAAAGACAAAATGAGGAACAACACTATGGCAGAAGCTTTCCAGGAGTTGGTGTTTGTCCTTGATGAAATAAGATGAAAGAATGGGAGAAAAATACAATAAAATTAAAGTGAATGAAAAACAAAAAAACACACAAGACTCTTCTGGGGACAATGAAATATACTGGAAACTAAAAAGTAAAGTGACACCAGGACTCATGAAGACAACACAATCTGCACGTAAACCACTCACCTTCTGTTCTCCCATGTCATTTATTTTGTTAGGAAAGACAAAAAAAGACAGATTTAAAGAATACTAAATACTTTTATTCATGTTGAATCATCATCATTTGCTGTACCAACTCACTGTACATTAGCCTTAACATTATAGTAATGCTGAATACAATGTGATAAATTTGAGGCCTGATGGAAGCTGTCAGCTGAGGTCGACATGATGTACTTACGTGTTTGGAAATATTACAGCTTCTGGAGTCGACATTGTACCTGCAAGTAAAATAAATAGATAAATGAACAGTAGGTGATAAGATGCAAAAACTCCCAAGACGGCATTTGAAAGAGATAGAAGGTGACAACATGTAGAGATCCACTGGTTTTAGATGAGCACTGCTGCCAACTCAACGATTTTGTGGCTAGATTTAGTGACTTCTCAGACCTGATAAACCGTATACCTACATTCCATTCATTTGGCTGTATTAGTCTCTTAGATAATGTATATGTGGGCACAGAGAATAGGAGAGAAACAAACAGATAAAGGGCTGAAACAGGCTAACACTAGGGAGAATGCAAATAGGAGGCATTAGCATGCTAATTAGCGTATTAGGTTTTCTTTAGCTACTTTCCATTGAAGGTAATTGGCAACACTGCTGTTGAGTGTTCAGAAGAGGAGAATACATTGACATGTTGGTAAATACACTTGCTTGTCTGTTTCTGGCACAGAGAGAAATAGCTCCGGCAACCATAGATAAATTATTTTAATTACTATCTTTAGAGGTGCTGGCAGAAATATTTAAAAATGTTGGTGCGAGCCAGGCTAGTAAGTTCCTTTTGCATTGACTCTTAATGCTAAGCTAAACTACAAATTACCAGCGGTGCTGTTATCTTGAAGTTAGCATAACATTCTGCTAAGTTCAACCTCTCACTTCCATAGCATCTGCATTGCTTCGCAAAATTTGGACATAGAAGATCGGATATAGAAAATGACCTTGCAAAGCAGGAGGGGTGCTCAACTGTGACATAACAGCATCATCACAGTGTTCCTCTTCAAACAAACCCCCTTTAAACTTTATACAAGCTACTGCTCTACAGACTCCACTGAGCAATAAAAGCACATTTCTGTGCCTTTATTAAACCCACAGAGGCGTGCAAGTGATCTTTCTTTGCCATTGATTAAGGATAACAGGTAGGTGAAGCATACAAAACAGCCAAACGGATATACAGACGCCAATTTAAATCAGTGGGGCTGACAAGTGGTTTTAAGAGGGCTTTTTTTTAATGAAAAATAAAGATACTCCTTTCATGATTGGACATCTGATTTTAGCAAAGACTGGTTTGTTCATTTATTTTAGTGGAGAGAAATTAGCTTTTCACCAAACTGAGAACCTCCAGAGAGAGAAATTATTCAAATGTAATCAAAGGCATTGCTACCTTAGGGTCGTTGCTTGAATCCACATTTGAGTATAAACATAGCAGGATGTATCCAACTTTAGAAAAAAATTAATTCATATTTATTCAGAAAAGGTTAGTGTGTTAGGCTACTTACACATCGAATCTTAGATTTTGTTTCTCTTCAAAGAAGAAATCCAGGACAAACTTCCTGACGAAATCGGGATTCCGAGTGTTATCGATTACCTCTGTCCTGCCAAACTACAAAAATAGATAAATAACAAAGTGATAATCGGTGGTAATAGGAGCATTGATTCAAGAGTCAATATATGTCATTAAGCTCACATCAAGACAATACACCGGAGAAAGAAGTGAATCAAATTCATGAGATTCAGCAGAAACCCATATTACCACCGTAACATTCACACAGGATTGGAATCCATAAATATAAAACTCCTTTGCAAACCACCACACGGTATCACACTGAGCTTCACCGTGCAATGTGCTAAAGCTTGTGTCCCCAGAGAAATCAGCCTCCTACATTAGAGCAACATTAGAGCCAGCACTCCACCATGCGAGCCCACAAAGTCCCAGTCCCAGCCTTCCTCCTGGGCCAGGCCGTCTCTCCATCTCCCTGACAATCACACCAGTAATCCCCCCAGTGGACTGCCAGCTTCGCCTCCACGGCCTGGCCCGACAGCAGCGTGTAATGAGCTATTGATCTTGGCACTGCTTCACCGCTGCCTCAATACCTCGACTCATGTCTTTAGTGCCCAGCGCACATAATCCACGCTATCAGCTGCGTCCCCTGCCTATCCATTACGAAGGCCTCGCAGGGGAGTGTATTGGACCTCAGAACCTACCTGCCCTATCGACCCGGAGGGAAAATTCCGTGATATGTCCTTGTAGTTTTTTTTGTATTTTTGGATGTCTAATAATCATATAATCTCACTTAGGCATGATTGGTTAATAGGTGCTGTGGCGTTGTGGGTGAGGTTAGGGAATTTCCTTGTTACCAGGGGAAATGTTTTTGGGTTGTCCTAGGAGGATACGTGGACCATCTGGAAAAACAATGATTGGTTTCAACATAGGCTATACAGGACTAAGAAATGGGTGTATTATAGGTTCCTACCCCTTTGATTTACTGTTCTTCAGTAAGCCTTTGAGAAGATTTATTCAGGATCCAGAAACACACTGGTTTACAGAGAAACCCACTCAAGGTCAAAATAACAGTTAAATAATAACAACAGTGGTGAACAAAATAAGGGTTTTAAAATTGTTTCCTATTCGTGTTATGTGCACAGTTGTTGTGTGTTGATTTGAACAAGGTTTGCAATCCATTGTGTCTGGGAAAATGAAATGGGGCTCATACAGATTACCATACTATAGTTGCATTAGTAAAAAGTCTTCTTGAACCAATGTATTGTTGAGCTTTTGAAGAGATTTGTTGTCTAGGAAATCTGCAGGTCTCAAACTGGCGACTGGCTATTAAAGCTTATTTAGGTTTATTCATTTGGGTATTACAGTAAAAGTACAGCAGTAGAGCCCTACCACAACATCACTGTGTATGGTCATAGCAGTAGTAGTTTGATAGCATTTTGATTGTTAATTGAAGTTGATGGACATCAGCCTGGCAACATAAGAGAAGCACCCAACACATTTTAATCCAAACATTGCCTAATTCTGATTGGCACATTGGAAGTTTGTGAGAGCATATTTTTTCCAGTTGAGCCCCATCTACTTCAAAGAAGTAAGAAAAGCTCAGCCAAAAACTGAAATACAGAAATCGCTTGTGAAATAACTAAAACTGTTTTAACTTGGGCAGAAAATTGGGTGTTAATGTTGGACTCATCAACTTGTTCTCTCTCCCAACTTATGTAAGATTTAGACGCTCAGTCAGGACCCATTGGCATCACTTTTCTAACGCACTGCGTACCCCTATAGTGGCATTTTTCAACATGAGGCTCACCATAAATGCATTCACTTCACCTCCTTCAGTGAATGCATTTATTGTGGCCAATTCCATTAAAATACACTGATTCCACCACAAAATTTCACAGTTTTAATTGCTGGTGCGACCAGCTGTTTATTCTGGTTTCTGTGCCTGTGACCACACACACAGAGTGGTCCATCTGTAGTCTTCCATTGGCCACCACAGATGATTTGTGGGAGCCTGGAAGTGGAGGATCATATCCATTGGCTGGAAAACATGGAACCACTTGTGCTCAAAGAACAATTTGGTGCACAGCCTGATGCAGCTGCAGCAGTAAATGGGTAGAAAAGAAGCACAAAATTACAATAATGTTACACAAACCACAAAAAAAATCCACAATGGAGGACCAGCAGGGGGACAACACACTGGAGCTTCAGAATATATTGATATTGATCGATATATTATATATCAAGTGAAGGGGTGTTTCAATATACTGATATTGATATTGTAATTGTTCTTTTTTGTACGTATTTGTTCAGTCATTGTTACAGACTCTTTCTCCACCTCCCTGCATTCTAGTGATGCCAGATCGGCTCTGATGTCATCCAAATCCACCCACCAAAACAAATTATTCTCCCTGATTTACAGACCAGCACCTGATCTCTTTTTAACCATCATTTCTCAGTGGGAGATTACGAGTGATGATATAGCAACCAAAGTGTGAACTCGCCTCCCCTTAACAAGACATAGGCCCCCCTGATTTGTGAAATTCTGGGGTCTCTAAAAATATTAACACTGTTATTTTGCCATGCATTTTCCAGTTGTTTTGTATCTTCATCAACATGGATCATGTGTAAAATTAGGCTGTACTACTGTATCATTCATTAAGATAACTACATGATGTTATAATTGCCGTCGCCAATCCAAAAAAAAAAAAAAAAACAGGCAATAAACACTGGAAACTTCACAGGTAAAACGGAAGCAAAACAGAAACTCCAAAAATAGTGGGAACACTGAAGCAAGAGACACAGGGAACTGACAAAATCAAACTGAAGCAAACAGACGAACTGACAAGGACAACAGGGAGCACAAAGACTAAATACACACAAGGGAGACAAGGGTAATTGAACATAGGTGAAACACATTAGGGCAGAGCAAAATAAGACACACAAGGGAAGTAATTTCAAAATAAATCAGGAAATCAACCAAAAGTCCAAAGAGAAATATTCCTGTCAGGGCAAACCTTGATAGTATTTGAATATAATTAATTTGGCAAATAAGAGACAAAACACACGATAAACAAAGTTAGAGATGAATTCGACTGATGTTTTTAATTTTCTATAGATATCATTACCATGAATTCTTTTATCCACAATAATCATGAAGTGAAAATCTGATATTGTGACAGCCCTAATCGAGTATTGTCATAATGAAAACCACCTTGTCAAAAGCAAACAAAGAATTTATAAGGTTTCCATTCGAGCACAATTATCTGCTCATGGTGTCAATATGTGCGCGGCTGGCAGCAAGATGTTTACTCTGCTGATTGCGGCGCAATTCATGCCGTGTTTTTGATTAAGCCCCATCACATGGCATGAAAAAGGTGTGAGGCGTCTTGAAGTGAGGGGATCAGCAGTCGCACTGACACATCAGTGTTGACTTTGAATTCGCAAATGAGGAAATGCATCAACTGAAGACAGGACGCCACAGGAAGACAGGCAGATGAAGGAAATATAGGGCTAAGAGATGACATGGAAATGTGTCTTTGTGCTGGAGAGATGTACTGAAAGGAAAAAAAAGGGGAAGAAATTGAAAGATGCAGTAATGAATGGAGGGACACACGACCCCGCCTTAAAAAGGAGTGACAGAGGGTGAGACAGCAGCAAGTCAGGTGGAGCAGATGGTCCATATTACGAAACTGAAAAAGAATCACCCTTCTTTTCTCTCAGCTCTGAGACATGATGTGAATTCCCTTTGTTTAACTTCAGACGCCTGATATAATTACTCCCTTTTTATTTATTCATTCTTTAACCTCTATTGTTAATGGGGTCAGTTATATGGTTATATTTCTTCTCCTACCTGAGTCAGTTTCAGACAGTAGTTACACTTGTGTGGGCAAGTGCAGAGGCTGACACTTTAAATTTTTCTACAACAGTGTTCTCAGGGGTTTGCAGTGAGTTTGCCTCTTGGACTTTAACTTGAAGTTAATACTTGTTATATAGCATTCTTAAGAAAAGACACGCAGGCTATACACTGACAGGTAGACAGAAACATTGGATGTTGATATTGGAGGACCAAAAATATCTTAACTCACCTCCCTCCACTCTTTGGTTCCCACAGCCTGCAAATACAGGACGACCACTGGAAAGGAAGGAGATGGAGAAGAAGCCAAAGGGGAAGCATGAAGAATAGAAGAAAATAAGAAAAAAAGCTATTAAATTTTTAGTGATTAGTCTGCTGGTTTTTACATGTTGGCTCCTGCAGCACCTGACTGATATTAAAAGACTCAGGTAAGAATCAATACTCTGTTTTCATTAGATCTGGAATAGCTGGAAGCAAAGTCAGTAATTCCTTAATATTAAACATTACAACAGCACAGAGGAACTTTCCCTCCCCCCATCAATGTCTATAATTACGAAGAGGCAGAATTGCTGTGTATATATGGCATTATTATACAGACCACATCAAACATATCATCTGGCTCCAAGAAAAACAACAGAATCAGTCATTTGCCCCAAATGCCCCAACACGACATGTGTTTTCTACAACTCTTGGATGATTTGTCATGGAATTTGATTCAGATATTCATGGGGGAGAGCCCCTGACTTTCCATCTAGCGCCATCTTCTCCAAGATGGACTGGATATATTTTTGGTACAGACATGTGTGTTCCCCAGAATATGAATCCTAATAACTTTGGTGATCTTAAACACACTAATAAACCAGGGACTGTGTTTAAAAATTGATATTTCTTTCTTATTCAAGAGAAGCACATGACCTGAACAGTCAGTATTGCCAACAGAGCATTTGAATTTGTTTGCACAGCATTAGTGTCTGACCATTTTTTTATTATTCCGACACCGTCCTTATTACAATTACATTACCACGGCTGCTTAAGATGAACTTTTATCTATGTATCAGTTTGGTTTTCTTTACAATGGGCATTACGACCTTTACGAAGCTGTTAGCTCAGCTATAGCCTCAGTGATCTGAAAGTAGTGAGTAAGCCTAAGTTTCACTATGGGTCCCCTAACTAGTCATTATTCATGGTTTTCTGTTTATAAAGTCCTACTGTGGTTTGTTCACCCAACATTACATTTGTCTTCTGAGACGAAATTTTTCTTTGAGAACAACTGCGTACATATGCAGTGGAGCAAAGATGGCCCAATTATAACCCAAAAAAGTTATCATGTTGTCATGTTACGGATCAAACACACATACGTGCATGAATAAGCAAACAAACAACACTTACTAAAAGCTCTTATGGGATGTATTAATAATTAACCGAGTTTTTGCTGTTTATGTCTAGACGGGCACCATCCGCCCCTTGTGCCTCGGTGAAGTTTGGACATTAGCTCTAATGAACTTCAGACTGTCAGACTGGCAGACGATTAAAACCACATTTTCCCTCCTAATGAGCAATTAACAGAGCGGAGATAACAGAGATAGGGCAGCAGGAGAGAGGCTTTTGGGCATTACGTCTTAAGAAGAAAACAATCTTTTCTTTGTCAGACTGTTAATCATATGGAAAGTGTACAATGCTGCTTAAGAGGGTTTTGTAAGTCTGAGTACTACAAGTTAATCAGTTGGTGAATAACATGTTAGCCTCCAATTAAATTACAGAAAACATGGCATATGCGCAACAGGGATTTAATCTGTTTGTATCAAAGTCATACCCCAGTGCTCTCTCTGCCCCAACAACTGAAATAATGATGTTCAAGAGACAGAGAGTATGTCTCTGTATCTGAGACCTTGTTGTTTCCCCAAGGTTGTAGAGTAACATCACAGCAGCCTGAACAGTGGGCTAAAACTAATCTGCGTCGAGGTTACATTAGTGTTGGCCATGTCCGATGAACCTGACTGATTGCCTGCTTTATGGAAAGTGACTGAGAAAGGAAAGAGCCCATCTGGTCAGCCATGGAGCAACCAAATCACAAGGAAATTCGTTGTCACTCCAAACCCAAGTCCCGACTACAACTCCCGTGGCTGCAGGACGGGTACCCAGGTGACTCTGAACATGAATGAAAGGGAATTGAGCACAAATCGCAATAAGTTCTCACATGGATCCACATCTTAGCAGCGTACAGTGAAGACAGTGCCGCAGTGGCACAGAGAAAAGACATCTTCAGACAGTTTAATTGTTATGTTCTTAAGGCAATCATGCATACCTGATACCTGCCAGCAATGCACCTTTAAGCATGTTGATGCTATTCCTATTTTTCATTTATTGCCAGAGGGGTCTTCATTCCTAACGATGCCACAAGGTGCCAGGAGTTACGTGTTGCCTTTGTGTACTTGGGTCAGGACCTCTAGATATATCAAACCTGTCTAGTATTTAATTTTTCGAGTAGTGGGTGTTGCAAACCTTTAAGAGCATATTTCGAAAAATGTTCTTGCACAACTAAATGTCTTAGTGACAGGTGCATAACATCAAAAACTCTTGACAACAAAAGAAAAAATCTCACATACTCACTTCATTAATGATGAAATGATGGACAGTGTGCAGGATTTTTGCCTTGTGTTCTCCACACTTTTCAGGCCACTAGGGTAAAACTGAAGTAAAGCCATTTATGTTTCATTATCCTCCGAATGTTTTGAGCTATAGTGTTAATATAGCTGGTCATTTGGTAGTCTTAACTATGAACCAAAAAACATGAAAACATGACTCAGTCAGTCACCACCTGCACTGCTTAATGCTACGCTTAATGCTACTGGCCTTCAGAAATATATACAGTATATATATATATATATATATATATATATATATATATATATATATATATATAGTTCCTGGAGGCAGAACGCACCAGACCTGGTAGAAATCAAACTCGCTAAAACATCAATAGAGAAGAATTGTTCAATCATCTTTGGCCACCAGAGCAAATGGCCACCAGCAACTTTCTCATTGCCTAGGGACATTGAAAACATTGTGTGATGGACGAATCTATTTTGCCGGTCAGACACACAAGGAGATAGCGCCTGTTATTTTGGCTTGAGTTTACTGGCAGAAACACAACAAAAAGGAACATGTTGATGAACAGGCACAAATGGGTGATTATAATCACAAGCTTCTTTATAGCATTTTATCAGCAACATGTCAACTTGATGAAAAGGTCACATATTTTACATAGAATATATATTTCTGGATTTAAGAACCAAAAACCATCTAAATGTAGTTTCACATCTCCTCTCTCAGGCTTCTCTCTTGAGCTCTAGCAACAACAAATCAGTCAGCCAATCAGAAAACAGGCTCAGTGCCTCATCTGACTGTTTTCTTAGTGATGCACAGCGAGGCCAACCCCAGGTAACACATTGTAGTCTACTACTGTAGCTTGGTAAAACTCCTCCATAATGGCACTGGTTAGTCAGGAGGTTAGAAATGAGCTGAACCGACGGTCAAACCTGGACTAAAATGCTCTGGCTGGATTTTGTGTGGAGCTATAAGCCTGTAACACTAGAGCCATAAGCCTGGTTCTGGTGCAAACTGCTGGATCATTTGGAGGCATTGGGGTGACCGTCTTCAGTGTTGCAACGTCGAGGTGCAGTAGTTGTGGAACAAGCTTCCCCTGTCCCAGGCTAAATCTTTTCACAGCTTGACCCTCTAGGCAGACCAGCACTGTGCCAGTGTGTGTTGAGGCCAGCCAGAGGAGTGTGCATAGCTGCAGTATCCAAGACCATTGGGGACATTAGGGAGGTGGGTGATCAGGCGGCTGGGACAGCACGAATGGTGAGTGGATTATCAGGAGAAAGAGAAGGTGAAGTCAGACCTTGTGAAGTTTTGAATGGGATTGATACAGATGAGAGACTGATGGCGCCGCTGAGGCAAATTCATGGAAGGAATGTTTACCTGCGGCGGTGTGACGGTAGCGTATATGAGGACATTATGGAGGAAATATGCTTTGCCTAGGCAGCTATGGAGACAGAGCTGTAAAGCAGCTTTTTTCAGTTCAAGTGTAACTCATAAATCAATATAAAAGAGTAAAAGCTGAAAAGACAGTTGGAGAGGCCGAACAAAAGACTAGTAAGAGTCCTTAGTTGAGCGTTGTGACTGTTCCGTTACGACATCACAAAGTAACAGAAGTCCTGACAGCTTGTTTTATGTCTCAGTTTCTGCATACAGGCTGTGTGCATTTCTCTGTGGACTGAGTGCTTTGATACTTTCACAGTATTAATATAGAACCTGCTTTATAATCAAAAAAGACTTGGAAATCTCACTTTCTACAGTGTGGTAACTTTAACATGGCATTTCATTTGGTGAAATAGCGATGATTTGTAATAAACATGAGAATACAGGCAGCAGCAGAAACAACAATTGTTGTGTCCTTAATAATTGTTAAAATATGTATTATATATCTATGAATTTGGTCCAGAGAGGCACTTTAGCCAATGAGGATAAAAGGGGCAGCAGCTCAAATCATTGTGTGCCTGCCAGCAAATATTCACTTCACTTCTAATTTATCTTTCTAACAGATTGCTGGAGGATGCAAAGAACATGCAATCTCCTGCATGTATGACATTCGAATCCCTTCAATATTCAAATTTCTGTCCCATCAGAGTGGAGCGTAATTGAAAATGGCAGAGTGTAATTTTGGACTCATCCGGCTCGCACCACGTGAGCTGACAGCAACAGTCACCTGTGTAAAGGTTTTTTTTTCCGACTGGGGATTTCTTGCTGCTCCCTCCTGGATATTCACTGCAGGAAAATAATCAGAGAATGGGCACACATAGACAGGATGCCACAGGCTTACTTAAAGGCTGAGGGCATAAGCTGCTGCTGTGAGGTGAGGTAGGGGGGGGGGGAGTGGGGGGGGGGGGGGGGTGGGGGGGGGGGGGGGAGGGGGTAGGCTGGAAAGGCAGGACGCAGAGAGGACAAGACAAAACATTAAAGAGGACAGGGAGGGAAGGTGGAGGAAGACTAATAGAGAGCACAGGGAAATAGATGAAGAAAGGGGGGCAGGGGGGCACAGAAGAGGAGGGGATGAAAGAGATGAGACACATAGACGACCGTTTGGAAAATAGGTGTGGAGTGGAAATCTGGGTCTAACACAGTCAGGCAGAGGCATATTTCAGCTAGAGAAGAAGGGCCAGGTTTTAAGGGCTTTGCTGTCAGAAATCCTCCACAGATACACCTCTCACACGGCA